ATAGACATGCACCACCACAACACCATGACTCTGGGTTGCTCTTTTCTATACCGAGGTAAAGCAGATATCAAATTCATAGCCAGTACTGCATAGCACCTGCTTGCTGTGCTTCGCCTCCTCATGGCTAACAGGCTCATGTTAGCATTGTGTCAGACACTGAGGGGGTTCTCAGAGTTCCAGATGTTCTTGCCATGGTAGATCAGCAACAGCTCATAGCTACCATTGCTCTGGGTTGGGAATGCAGTGTCCTCTGGGGCTTGCTAGGATTCGGGTTGTAGCCTCATCTCTGCTGTGCTTTCTACCTCCTTGAATATCTTATTATTTATACTTTTAAAAATTCAGTTTATTTCATGACTTATAAACTCAAAATTGTGATAATTGATAATTTTCCATTTTGCTATACTGTACGAAAAAGTAAAAAGAATCCCAAAGAAATACGGTATAAAAATGGAGAATGTGTTTATTGTTATAGCTAATCTAATTTTGATTTGCATGAGAGCTTGTGTTTGCACGCATGATTGTGTTCATGTGTACATATGTATGTGTATTTAGTAAAGTGTACTTAGTTGTCTGGCCTTAACACATTCACAACCGGGCTGTGTTTGCATAGCTTGCTGCCAGGCAGCTTAAACCACTGGTGCTATAAGCATGACTGTCCCCTTGGGTGGCTTTTTATTAATTTTATTAGTTAAAAAGACTGATAAAAGTGATTAAATCCATTTGTACCACCAGTGGTTCAAGGCCCTCAATGGGACAGTCATGTATGTACCTTGGTGGTTCAAATTGGTGGGAATGGATTAATGTGTTCAAATCTTTCAACTTACTCCAACCCAAAATAAATCAAAAGTTTCCTAAAGCAAGAAGTAAGGAAGACAGCTTTGAAGATTTTCGATTTTCTGAAGATGCTAACTCTTTCACAGGCAGAATAAAAGGTCACCATGAGACTTGTCATGGCTATTAAGGCACCGCACCATGAGCAGCTAACCTAGCACCAGGGCATGGACACCTGGTGAGTGTAACCGAAGAGCTGAAGAAGGGAGGGAGTGCATGGATGCCATGGGTCTGTCGGTGGTCTGCGCTTCTCCCTGTCAGACACAGTTTCACCCTCCCAGAGTCTGACCCATGGTGCAGAATCTTACCTCAGGTCGCACACTTCTCTCTCAGAAGTTTCTGGCCTCATATAGTGCCTAGAGATATTGTGGAGACCAAGATCCAGTCTTTTTTCAGTTTAAAGGGTTTTCATTAGAGACTCTGCAAATTCCACTGTCTACTACCAACTCTGCTTAAATTGGTGGCCAGGGGACATGTTTGGATGAGTATTCAAGAGTACCTCCTATAGTTGGAGCATATCTTCAGTGGACTGAATTGCACCTTCTGTAGCACTGGTGGGTATTATCCCTATTACTTTGTCATGCCACCTAGAATCACCATAACCACAGTCCCCAGCCAGTTCTATCCCCATTTGACCACAGTGACCACATTTGTGGTGGGGGTCAGATGAGAACCTCTTCTTGGTTCATGTAACCTTATCTACCACAGGTGCCAGAAAGATTACTGGGCCTGACCCAAGTAATGAGATTGTCACTTTCCTGATAGCAGATATCCTCTTTCAAGCACACACCCTGTGTTCTGCCACCTGGAGGACAGGTGCGGTTGGCTTGTGGGCAGAAAATACTTTATATAAATGGCCCTGTAGATGAGAGACATTCATTCCTTCACCTAAGCTTTGCTCCTTATTGCCTAAAAACTTGTTTGCAAATCTAGAGAGGTCCCAGATTTTCCCTCACTCAACCAGGTGAGCATCTTTGAACGAAGAGAAATGCCCAGCCTACTTTGACTTTTCTAAGGCTTTTATCATTTACGCTGGATTCTTGGCTTCTTAGTCTTATGCATCTTGCATTTTCTTGATCTTTGTCTTGACCACTTTTTGTGCCTCTAAAGTAAGGTCCTCCCAACTGATGAGTGATTGGATGTGTCAAGCCACTTACATTAGCTCCCACTCCAACATTGTGCTGTCTGCTTTCAAAGGATATCCCTCCCTTCGTGCAGGTGGTCCTCAGTTGACCAACTAAGTCTTGAGGAGATTGAACCTTTGTCTTTATTCCTACCCAAGCACAGATTCTTTGAGAATATACATTAGAAAATCCAGTCACAAAAGAACAATAGAGCTGAATTTAAAAGACTACTACAAGTGGGGTTTGCAAATGCTGATTCTGTTTCCATGAGAACCAGATGTTCTGGTTGAGTTTCTCCAAACCTTTAAAAGCACTTAGGGATTTTCTGTGCTAAAGTGTGTTTTTTAGGGGGAAAATACTTATAATGAGGAGAGAAAGAAACTATAGAGCAAAAATAAGAAAGAAAAAAAAATCCCAATATGGATTTTCTGTGTGAAAGTTTCTTACAGTGAGCTTGTTGGATGTGTTACACATGCTATGGAATATTCATCTTGTCTCTCTGTGATATCTGTCTTTGTGTTTGGCATTACCGAGCCTTAGAGGTTATCATGAATGCCAGTTGTGTGAAATGAGCACAACTGACAGGATTTAAAGGCTCACACTAACCTTTTTAATCTATCTATTCCCTATTCTCCGCCTTAGGCCATGCCTCTTCTGCGAGACTAAACGACATCCTTGCTCCTCTGATGGGAGCTGGATTCATTTCCTGAATGTCAGTCAAAGCCTCCCTCCTTGAGGAGCTGGAGAAATTCAAGCTTCTCCTTCTGACTAGATGGAAAAGAGCTATAAAGAATTTTCAGAATAAGATGAGTGTTAGTATTTTTGCCAACTGTGCTTAACTTTTTCATTTCTTTAATTCAGTTTATAGTTCTTTTTTCCTTTCCCATTTGTTAGATTAATAAAATTCATTCTGAATTAAGCATTTGTGCAGAGATCAGTTAATTATCAGATCTTTTATTTAAATAAACCCATCAATGCTGAATGATAGCTGTGTGCTGGGCATTGTTCTAAGTGCTTGGGATTCAAAATAAGACCACATCACTGCTCTCCTGGAGTTCATATCCTAGTGAATAATGGAAAAAAATAATGTGTAACATGCCAAGGGAGGTTAAGTGCTGTAAAGCAGTTAGGAGATGAAGAACAATAGGTGTTAGGGAGTGAGGTCCCCATAGGATAGTCAGTAAAGTCCTCTGAGATAAAGTTGTATCTGCACAGAAATCTGAAGGATGTGAAGGAGGAAACCATGCTGAAAGTTTGAGAAAGATTGATCCAGGTAGAAAAGGCCAATTTGATGAATAGTATTTTTAAAAGGTAGTGCAAGGGGGCAAAGGAGAAAGTAGTGCCACTAGTTAGGAGGCTTCTATAGTTAAGTCTGTGAAAATGGAGTGGATTGGACTAGAGTTATAATAATGGAAGTAGTAAGCAGTGATTGGATTCTTTGAAGATAGAGTCAACAGGAGTGATGTGAAGTATGAGGAAGACGAGAAGAATCAAGAATGACTCCAAGGTTCTGGCCTAAATAATTGATAGTTGCTGTTTGCTGAGATGGCAGGATTGGGCTAGGATCAGGTTTGGTGGGTTGTGGAAAGGATTGCTCAGTGGGGCATGCTCAGTTTGAGCTGCTTGCTAGACATCCAAGCAGCTATGCTGAGGAGGCAGTTGAGTATAAGAGTGAAATTCAAGAGGTGAGATGGGGGCAGGAGAATTAAATTCAAGTGTCAATCAGTGTATAGATGATGTTAAAGCCATGAGATTGCATGGAACTATCTACAAGTGAGTGGAAAAAGGAAAAATCTGAAAACTGAGCTCAGGTCATCTCCAAAGCAGAGGTTGAGAAAAATGGCTAGGGAAGTAGAAGAAAGCCAGGAAGGAATGTTGTCCTAAAAGCTAAGAGAAGTAGTCAGTCTAAAAAGGAACACAATCTCCTTTGCTAACTACTCCTGGCTAGAGTAAAATTAACACTGATAAACGACCCTTGGGTTTGAACACAGGAATGTCACAGGCAGCCTTAATGAGGGCATTTTTAGTGGAACAGTGGAAGGAAAACATCAAAGGAATGGGTGACAGAGAAAGCAGAGCTAAGAATACAGCATTTGTACACTGAATGTATAGACAACTTTCCAGGGGAGTTTTGTAATGAATGAAGAGGAAGGAATGTGGAGGGCCTAGAGCAGTGTTGGCAAACTTTGTAGAGCTCTCAGGGATAAACAGCCTGCTGCAGCACATGTGTCATGTGTTCACCACAACTGGCCTAGAGGAAGCTGTGGGATCAAAGGAGGGCATTTCTCTTTCTCAAGCTAAGAACGGTAATAGCATACAGTATTTGTATGCTGATGGGAACTATTAAGCAGTAGAAAGATAATATATAATGGGGCAGGGACCAGGCTGCAGGCAGAATGAGTTCAAATCAAGTGCGTATGTGGAGTATTGGGAAAGCAGAATGTACTGATACAAATACAGCTTGAGTGATGATAGGTTTGTGGTGAAAATGGGGAGACAGAAGCGTTGGAGGCTTGAGAAAGAAGACATGTAATGTATGAGTGAAAGAGTGAATTGATGACAGCAATGTTGCTCATGTCGCCCTCCTATAGCATCACATGGCTAGGAAAACATAACTCCTTTCCCTAAAATACCTGTTAACTGTCCTGTTTCTATAATCTACTAAAGAGCAAAATTCTGAAATGTTCTTTGAAAAACTAAAACTTAGTTCTTTTATATTTTACAAGGTATATCACAAACTGAATTTTAAGAGGGGTATATTGTTCTTTAAAAATCTTCAAATTCTCCTGCAAAAATTAAGCGGCTAAGTACAGAGTTTCACACACAAGAAATGAGAATTGGCCTGTGCAGCAAGGAGAGAACTCAGCTGTTACCGTGAAAGCCATGACCTACTAGTCTGAAAAGAAAGAACTGACTTCCATGATCAAGAACAGCATCAATTAAGTACATAGGGATCTTGCATTTTAAACAGAGTGTGCTACATTTATTCCTTAAGCAGTACTGTATTATGTAGCTCATGGTTTTCTTTTTATAAAAATAAAACAGATTTTGTTGGAGCCAGGCGTGATCCAGGATGTGTTGGCAGCTGGCAGCCACCTACAGCTGTTGGAGCTTCTCAATCTATGTTCCCACTATCTCATCCAGGTATGTGAGCTTGCACACTGCTACTATGCCCTTTACATCTCATCCCCTGCAGTCCTAAGCTGTCCCCACCAACTGGAACCCATTGACATGTAAAGTGTGTGTGTGTGTCTCCTGTAATGGTAGAATTTCTCCAGGACACAAGCTAAGAGACTCCTAGGAGGACAGCTGCAATTCTTGTGCCCTGTCGGAGATGTGAGCTTTTCCCCTCACCCCTCTGTCCATTCCAGTGCCCCATTATCCTCTGGTAGAAGATTATTTCAATACCTATTCACAGGCTTTCCCTGTGGGCTCCTGGGAAGTTGACACTGGAAAAGTTCATGGTCTGAAACAGTGTCATCCGATTGTGTAAATAGACACAAATGCAGGAAAAGTCATATAGTCATTGAAGATTTTGGTAACAATAGCTAATATATCACAAAATCAAATAGAATTAGGTATCACATGAACTTCCCAGCCAGTAAACACTGGAGAAGGGATGAGTGAGGTGCACATTCTTCCTCTTACCTGCTGGCTGGTCAAGAAAGTTCCATGAGAAGGAAGGAAGAAAAAGCTCCTGTTCACCAAGCACCTACTGTGTATTCACAGATGTTTCATATTCAGTCACCACAGCAACTTTGCACATGAAAAATGAAAGATCAGAAATTCGAAATTACCCAGCTTATTGGAATCCGTATGGCTGGTAAGTGGGAGGTCTTTCTGATTCCAAAGGCCATTTTTCCTCTTGGACAAATATTCTTTGATAGGTAGGAAAAAATGGAACATGTTAGGCAGCCTTATGGTTGTAAGGCTCTTATTTTAGAGACTCATGACTAATTTCCTATTTTGAGATTGTCCCATTTCTCCCACCAATCTGACTTTTACTTGCATTTGTTACAGCATTATAAGAACAATGAAAATTAATGTAAAAATAATAAACCTGTAGAATTTAATACTATTATCTTTGTGCACATATCATAATATTAATGAGCAGAAAAATGCTATTTGGTTTCCTGCCCACTTTATCTTCCTTCAGAATCATTTTGTCTGATTCTAAATATGTCCTTTATCATTGACTTCTGTTACCCATTAGGTAGTTTACAAAGGTCTTTCTTAGCGAGACTCTTACTGCATCTTCCCAGCAGCCCTAGGAAATAGGAACCAGTGTTTCCCAGGGAGGCAGTGTGAGGAGTGTCAGCCATGTTCACCAAAGGAGCAGTTCACACACAGTATATGAAACTTTTATCATTATCTCAGCACATTTAGTCCATCAGTAAATGTTTAACTTTTTATCTTATTTTTCCCCCCAATATTGTTGGCAGGTATTGGAAAGTTGTTTCTCATTTTTTTCTGCAAATAGTAAATAGGAATCATATGTTTGACTTGTGAAATTGAAATTGCTTTTATTTGAAATTTCTACATCAAATGCTGCAACTTGAGCTTTAAGCATCATTCACTTTTCCCATGGTAGAGAATGCACGTTGACCAAAGTTTAGTAGTGGTGTTAATTATCGTGATGCATATTATAAATGCTGTGTATATACAGAAGTGTGTAAATTTACACCTATAATTTTCTGTAAAAGAGAATTCCAGGTAAACAGTGGAAATTCATGTGTAATTTTCTTTACCCAATCAGATTAATTTTTGAGATACTTAAAGACTTGTACACTTTGAAATTTAACTCTTGCATTCATTATGTTGCTGAACTAAAGTGCAACTTGCATACAGATGTATTTGTATACAGTTATTATTCAGGCTTCTTGAACAGTGGTTGTATTCTATTCCAGTGGCTGAACATTCACTGTCTTCTGATAAGTAAGTTTTCATTTCATTCTTTCATATAACTTTACTTTTCCCTTTTATCTTCGATTGTTTCAAGATTACAGATTTATACAAGGAAATTTGGACTATTTGAGAACCAACACCAAATGAATATGTAGAACCAAAACCAAATGAATATGTAGAAATCTTCATTGCTTCAGCTTTTACAAATATATGCCCTGTTTGTGTCTTAGCATAAAATCTCCAGATTGAGTCACTTTGCTTTTGTATTTTGACATAGTGCCATAGATACACATGTCTACTTTTCTGGTGAATATTGCTCAACTAATTTAAAAATTTCATGTAGGGCCATTTTATTGAGTATATAAACCATTTTTTTGTTAAAATGAAAAACCCCCAGTGCTTAAAATGTACCCAGAGGGCCAGGGATTTAGCTCAGTGGTTCCATTGCCTGCCTTGCAAGCGCAAGGTCCCAAGTTCGATCCCTGGTACCAAAAAAAATGTACTTAGAAATCGTGTCCTATTAATGAATACTAATATAGTGTTCATCCATGTTTGGTACTTTGTCCAACTAGGAGTTTTTGAAACCATTTTCCTCACTAAGATGTCTGGTATGTATTATTTTGTTATCAAATTTTCATCATTTCTTTGATTTCCCTGCTAGAGAGGTATAAAGGGTGGACCCTGCACCCCAAGGCCCTCTGTTATCCTCCAGGCCTCACTAAGAAGCCTATCTGAGGACAGGCCTTGCGGGGGAGCTCCCTGAGCCCCATCCTTGCCTCACCATCCGCTTTTGCCTTGGCCCAAAGCTCCTCTCAATACACATAAATGCTGTTGCTATAAAATGCAAAGGACATCTTGAGGCCACTGTGGGCTTTTTCTTCTTGTTTTTCCTATGGTAGAGTGCTGAAAGCAGGGACCCCACACCCTGAGCAGGAACAGTGCCCTTCTGTGTTGAGGACAGCTATTGTATTAGCTCCGAAGACTGAGGCCCTCACCCAGGCTCTCAAAGTATGTTTGTGGGAACAAGAGAAAGCCTGGTAATGAATATAATGCTATTTGATATGGGGAAGAGGGTGCCATAACAATAGTCATCAAATCCAGGTAATAGATTTACAAACACTTTAAGTTTGCATCCTTTCACCCACTTTGTAGTAACATTCCGTGGAACTCTCTCTTAGGTAGCCTATAATATTAGGGTATTATTAAGTATGACCTATCAGACTTTGATCTGCTATTTGAAATCCACAGGGTAGATCCAGTCCCAAATCAAATGTGAATGTATCCTTCAATCTTCCTTATTTATTGGTCTTTCCTAAACAATTTCACCAGAAAGATGTTCCAATTCATTAAAGAGCAATTACTGTCTTTAAAAGTTTTCACAAAATGGATAAATGATCTTGCTTTTTCAGAGTATGTGTTTTTGCATACATCTCATTCACTATTTTATATATTACATATTTTATATATTATAAAGGAAACCCTGAGATACCACCTTCCAGAGTGGTGGACTATGGCAGTGATGGCGAACCTTTTAATGATACAAATAGCCTGCTACAGCACACCTATGAAGTTGCCATATAGTGCCATAGGTTTGCCACCACCACAGTATAGAGATTCCTATGTGTCCACTGGTTTATTGTATTCTTCATCTAAATATCACAAACTTACAGAATCCAGTTTGGTTTCCAAACTCTTGAGTTTTCCCAGGTGGTTTCTGATTATTGAACATATACAGTACATCTAAATATCACATGGGCAATTCAAACTTCATAGATGAAAACCTTCTCTACTGATGGTACCATTGATCTGCTTGTTGTATAGAGACTTGGATACAGTTTTAGATGCCTTCATCACCACTACATCCAGTCAATCACCAAGTTAGCCTTTATCTTACAAATGTCTCTGTCATCTGATCCTTTTCTCCATCACTAATATTTCTACCTTTTTAAAGATCCTCAGTATTCATGATTGAAATTCTAATTATAGTTCATAATATCCTCCTAAGGGGGTAGCTTGTTTCTATGCTCTATCCATGCCAAACCATAATCCCTTGAGCACCATTATCTTTCCTGGGGAAGGGAGCCAATAGTGCTGAGTGTTTTGCAAGCATTCACAGTTCCATTCTGCTAAATAATCCCATAAGGCAGGTGGGTACAGTTTTCTTTTTACAAATGGAGGAATTTAGATTTAGAAGGAGGATGTTAATCTGGTTTGGAAACTTCTACTAGCTACCCTGAGTGACCACTAAAGTGCATTATGTTACCTACAAAAAGTCTTTACCCTTAGCTCCACAGTCAGGGCCTCTTCTCCTTGACTTTATCTCCACTCCACTCAAAGTCCCTTTCCTGACCCACTTTGTTCCAGACCTCTCATCTGAGACTTGCCCTTAGGGGAGAAGGCCAGGTGGCAGAGATCCTCAGTGTCTGGCAGAGGCATCTGGTCTTCTTTAGACTGCACCAAGGAGTAGGAGTTGGGGAAGCACAGACACACACAGGTGCACACACATGAACCATCTCCTGTGCTGCTGCACAGTGTTATGAAGTCAGGGGTATTAGCCATTGGGCTTTGTGTTGTATCCTCTGAAAGTGAGGAATTAGGAGCCACATGCCTTGCTATACACCGATCCCTCGGTACCAGGGATCAAACTCAGGACCTTGCACTTGCGAGGCAGGTGCGGTGCCACTGAGCCAAATCCCCAAATATATATATATTTGATAACTTTCTTAAAATAAAAAAGCAGCTTTGTGCTTTCTGTATTTTGTACCACTTCCTCCACATAGTATATTCTGTTGTTTAACAACTGTCCTTTCTCTTCACCAAGATCACAACCTTTACAATGATATATAATTTAAGTGATTAACAAAACAGAACATCACACAGATTTTTCCAATAAAATCATCAAAGTAGTGAATATATAAACTCCTTTTGATAGGAATGTATTTCTACTATGTGTTCCTAGCAGCAGGTGGCAGTGTGAATCCACTAGAATTCAGTAGTTAATTTAAAGTAAAAATCAGAAAAAATGAGAAGAAAAATTATTTATTTTGCTGCATATTAGTCTTCTGACCTAATCAGTAAAAAAGTCATTATTCACACCACACTGGGCAATATGCATTGTAATTTTTAACAAATAATAGGAAACTGTTAATGTGTTCACAGGAAATACAGTTTTGTCTTGAGCTTCTGTGGTCATTTATCCCCGCACTTTGTGAAATCAGTCATTTGTTCTAATTTGAATG